ATTTTAATACCATAAATACTTTTTTTTAAAATTAGTATCAGCAATAAATATTTGAAAAAAGAAAATAAAAAATCTTGTCAGCATTAAATATCCCATTGAGGTTAATATGCCACAAACCAAACAAAAATATTACCAGAAATAAATTTTTGACAAAACAAAATATTACCAGCAATAAAAATTTTGTCGGTATTAAATAACCCATTGAAGTTGATATTCCGTAAAACAAACCAAACCAGTCGATTCATGATTATTTAGAAACGAAAGTTTACTGATGTATCACACTAGACACTTCTCTTTACGCAAATCTCTTACAACTTTAAGTTTGCCATTTGTCAGTACCTTGAATATAGCTGCCATGTCTGGTCTGGTGCTTCTACTATGTATCTCTGGATTCTTGACAAAATCCAAAAAATCTGTAATGTTATTGGTCCTGAGTTGGCATTTCCGCTTCAATAACTTCTCCACCGCCGTAACGTTGTCTGCCTGTGATTTTATTTTCTATATTCTCCTTACAATTTTTCTGATATGTTTTCCTCTTTGCTACCTTGTCTTCAGGAATTCTCATAGTTTTACTGTTGAAATTGCTACGGGTAACCGTAAGTTTTAATGGGTTCTTCTTCTGTCGCATTTATCTCCTATGGAACGCTCTTCCAGATTCTTGCTTTCTCGTCAATTACGATCTTCGAAAATTGAAATTCAATATCAATCATCGTCCTTTCCATCTTTTTAACTTTTTTTTTAATTCTCCAGTGTCTTTATCACCTTGCTTAACGTGAAATGATTTATAACGTTGTTGCTTGGCTGTGCTGGCCTGTTCTGGAAAACAAATGAATATTTTTCCTCTATTGAGAAAGATAACTTAAAAAAAAAAACCTGATGCCACTTTTCATAAGTTAATGCAGAACCTTTTTTCTTAGCTTCAGAATTCTACGCAAATCTTAACATTTGACCAAATATACAAGCAACAATGACTTGAGATTTAAAGACACTTCTAAAAACTCCAACATTGTGGCAAAGATGGCGTTATAACAGTTACAAAAATGTATTTTGATTCAAATAACTGGTGCTTTGTAATAAGTCAAAAAGAAACTTTATGCTAAATGCGTAACTTTCCTTGCTTTTGAACAAAACTTGTTACTGTAAATAAATAGTAAAGTAAATATCTACTGTCGCCTGAACTTCTTTGGCACTCTTACTGTTTTTTTTAGGGTGGGGCGTGTAGCTTTCATCTTTAATCATCTAGGCTAACAATGCCACTTACTTTATTGATCGTGCCGAAATGAATGCAACCGAATGCAAGCTAAAAACGCACTTTGCTAGTAACATGGGGTCTGGAATCAACAAAAAAAAAAATCATAAAATGATGTCGCTTTTAAGTGGCTTCGCTTGCAGCCTTTCAGGCTTCCTCTAAATGCGGCAGAACAGCGGCGTTTTCATAACACTATAGCAAACTTAAGTTTCCAAAGATAAAAGCTACCACTACGTGAAGAATCCTCTACAAATGCGACTACTTTGTGGCCGTAGTAGGACCAGCCGGGTCCTATCATGGCAGTGAATTTGGAAACGGTGAACATGGAGAAAACGTCACCGAAAAAAAAAAAACGACCTGGCGTAAGGGCAAACCCCAAAAGAATGCCAAATATTATGAAGCCTTGAAATAAAAATAAGCCCTACATGAAAGTTGTTTACCCTCCAAGCGGCAATTGATGCCGTAAAGACAAGGACTATCTCCTGCTGACCACTGACGTAGGAACATGAAGATTGATTGGCGTCAGCGGGAAGCATTGAAGAGTCATAAGTTAGGCCCTGGCCTTAAGGTCAAACCCTCTATAGGATATTTTATTGGCTTCGGAGAAGGGTGAAGATGTTGCAGGAAGCATCCTGGCAACGAAGCCCGTTCGCCTACGAACTGAGTACTTTGGGACGAGAAGAACGAAAGTGACCGTCCATGGAGTCCCGGTGAATATCTGTGAAGATAGCCTGGTGACCTTTTTTTCTTTTTTTTTTTTCCTTTTTGCCCAGTACGCCGAGGTAGATGAGGTCCCGGTAATAATTAGCAAAACCGGTATTAGTATGGTGGTATCTGCCACACAGTTTACCGACTCTTTTGTGTTAGGAAGAATAACGTGTTTTAGCCTTCCAGTAGCACACCGATACTAATATTAGCATTAGTGTAGCCATTGATACACTAACACTGAATGCGAATATAGAAATACGCGAACGTAACAAACAAAACATTCAATAAAGCAAACAACGTACGTACATATATTCAAAAGATTTACATATGTCCCAAAACAAATGATTGTCCATATTGTCCCAAAGGAACGAGGAGGTTTACAGAATGAGAACAAAGAAATAACATACCAACTTTATGGCCTTTGATCATCCGCAGATAAGTGAATAGAAAGTACTTCTTTCTTTCGCGAGGCCGTGCACATGTTGAAAACTTGTGGTCTCCCTACAAGTACCCCCTCCCTAGACAGGTTAATTATTTTGCAATCGAATAAAAAAAAGGAAGAGTTTGATGTGGAGGGAGGAATATCCTCCAGTTATGGTTCTGCTGAACCCAAAACCTGAAAATGACTTATGTCAAATGTTTGGGCCATCTAACATGACGGCCAGATCTGGTCAGTCTCTTTTAGTACCCCCGGTGCTACTGGCGATGGAGGAGTCACTGAAGTGGCCATGCTGAGCCAGGTAGTATCCAAAAAGGCAGGCTTTAATCTGTCCATAGTAATGTTTTGTGTTGCATTGTTAACGCTCACCATAAAATACTTTGAATGACTCTCAATGACCTTGAAGGGTCCCCTGTAGGCTGGCTGCAATGTGTGGGACTTAGCCAAGTCCCGCACAAAAACATGTGTGTATGTCTACAGTAGTTTAGGCACATATATCTGCCTTTGAACCTGTGCAGAAGGCTTATATGCCAAGTTCGCGGTAAGCCGATCAACGAACGAGGTCAAGTTCAAAACTTTTTGTGGAGGTTGCAGGAAAAAACTGTCCTGGGAGTCTGATTGTGGTGCCATAAACTATCTCAGCAGATTAACATTTAAGATCCTCTTTAACCGCGGTAAGGAGTCCCAGAAGAACAAACGGTAGATGCTCCAGCCAATTTGCCTGATCCGTCACGGCTCTTAAAGCTGATTTAAGTGTATGATGAAACCGTTCCACTAAGCCATTAGCCTCAGGATGATAAGCGGTGGTTTTGATTCTTTTACTCCCCAAGATCCTAATCAGCTGGTTGAACAGGTCTGACTCGAATTGCCGCCCACTGTCTGTAGTAATTACAGCAGGGACCCCGAAATGGGGAAACCCACCCTGAAACAAAAGTCTTTGCCGTGGTATGTGCTGTAATGTCCGACATGGGAAGAGCCTCACACAAACGGGAGAAACGATCAACACATGTCAATAGATATGTCTGTCCCTCACATGAAGGTAATGGTCCTGTGATGTCTACGTGCACATGTGCAAACCGCTCGTCGGGTGATTGAAAGGATCCAGGAGGTGAACGGGTATGTCTCCCCACTTTGGCACTCTGACACGGCACACAAGTCTTTGACCATTGCCGGATGTCAGTTTTCATGCGTGGCCAAACAAATCTGTGATTAGCCGTATTGAGGCATTAGCTCCTGGGTGGGACAAATTATGCATGGAGGAGAATAACGTCTTCCGCATTGACTCGGGCACGCGCAATCGTCCGGTGCTGGTGTCACATAAAACTTCCAATTTTGTGTTTGGAACATGTATTCTCGACAACGTCAAGGATGTGTGGTTCTCTCGTAGCAGATGCTGTAGTTGCTGATCCTTTTCCTGTGCTTCCACAAATGATTGATGCTCCAAGCACGGTTCCAGCACAAAAGCATTTATGCCACGAGACATAGTGTCTGCAGGTATGTTGTCCGTTCCCTTGACGAAACGGTTATCTGAAGTGAATTGTAACAGATAATCCAAGTGTCTGGTTTCACATGGGGAATACTTGTCAGCGTTTGACTGAAAAGCCCCCAACAAGGGCTTGTTGTCTGTCAGTAAGTAGAAAGTCGGCCCTTCCAACAAATGTCGAAAGTAACGGACAGCTGAATAAGCTGCGAGAAATTCACGTCCAAGTGTGCTGTACCTGGATTCCGTAGAAGTTAGTTTCTTGGAAAAGAAGGAAATTGGTTTCCAGTGGTCATCGATCTTCTGCTGTAGTACTGCACCCACACTAATCGAAGAGGCGTCAACTGCCAAAGACAACTCGCTATCTGGGACAACATGTGACAATTCAACTGCTCGGGACAATAAAACCTTAATTCGATGGAACGCTGCCAAGGCTCCATCAGACAAAAGTGTCACAATTTTTTACATCAGTTAGAATCTGTCAAAGGTTTTATAACCTGCGCACAATTTAGCAGGAGCCTTCGAAAAAAGTTCACCATCCCTAAAAACTGTCACAACTTTCTCATGGTATCTGGCACGGGAAAGTCAGAAATGGCCGCCACTTTAGATGGAGGAGGTGAAACTCCAACTGAATTAATGCGGTGACCTAGGAAAATAACTTCAGATTTTCCAAACTCACACTTTACTGGGTTGATAACAACCCCAAATTTCTCAAAACGCTCATAAACGAGCTGTAAATGTTTAATATGTTCTTCCATGGAAGAACTGGCTATAAGGATTTCATCCACGTAGGCACAGACAAAATGCAAACCGTGCAATAAATCGATAAATCTTTGAAAAACTGTGCTGTGTTTCTTTGTCCAAATGGCACGCGCAGAAACTCAAACAACCCAGATAGTGTTGTTATAGCAGTCTTTGGAATGTGTTCGGGTTCTACCGGAATCTGATGGTAGGCCCTGATAAGGTCTAATTTAGTAAATATGCACCTATCCTGAATGATGGCCGTTACATCATGTACATGAGGAATGGGATAACGGTCAGGTTTAGTGGCAGTTGAGTGCCCTGTAATCACCACAAGCGCGCCAGGTACCACCATTTTTGGAAACTAGGTACAAAGAAGATGCCTAGTTAATCTTTGATGGCCGGATAATACCAAGTTCCATTATTTGGGTAAATTCCGCTTTCGTCACACAATTTTTTTCCCGTGCCAGACGACGAGGACGGCTGTGAACAAGAGGACCGCTAGTAGTAATGTGGTGTGTTATATTGTGGGGTAAACTATCTTTGTGAAAAGACGGTTTGGTAATGCTCTCAAACTTTTTTAAATGTTCACAGAACATAGGGTTATCTTCTCTGTTAGCTACAGTAGGGCATAATAGAATTACATTATGAATGGCTCCCGGCGATTGAGTATTTGTCTTAGGGTCTGTCAGACAACGTCTGTGAACATCAATGAGAAGAACAAATTTGTGTAAAAAATCTGCACCCAATATGGCCTTCTCTACATCCGCAAGGACAAAGAAATGGGTGAAAACCCGTCTCAGACCCAAATTCAATGTAAGGCACCTCTGACCATAAGTCTGGATGAGCGACTTATTCACGGCCTGCAATGTAAGTTTGTGAGGACCTTTTAACATGTCTGTCCTTGTGGCAGGGCTTAAAGATATTTGTGCACCACTGTCCACAAGAAAACGTATACCAGTAGTGCGGTCCGAAACAAATAGTAAACGACAAACCTCTCCCACGCCGGCGCACCGAGTCGCCTCCGGTCGCCAGCCTAGGCTTTTCCCTGTTGCGAATTGAAGGAGCAGGGGGGGGCTTACAATAATTAGCCCTATTTCCGAATTTCTTGTGTAAGTGACACATTGGGTCCTTGCTAACAGCTCTTGTACGATCTCTACTTTGGGAGCGGAGAATGCTAACCTTCTGCAACCGTCTCTCTAAGTCTTTCCATCCTAGCCTCTAACCTTCGTTGTCCCTCCAAGAGTCTAGCCAGCGGATCTGGTTCTTGCGTCTGTACGGCAGAAACGGGAGCAGTGCATCTCGAAGTTAAGTCAGCTACATTATCTGCTATTTTAGCCAGCTTTTCGACGGGTGCATCTTCACCTACCGCAACTAAAACAGCGTGATACACAGAGGGCAAATGCTGGAGAAAAATATGACGTATAATGCCATCCTCATTACCTTCTCCAGCTCGATGCTCGGCTTGCTGTCTCCCAATTGTTCTTCATGCAAAAGCTGTGACAATTTCTTTTGCCGTGACATAGACGTCCTGCGAACAAGTTCCTCTTTTAACTTGTAATATGGCTTGTCTTTCGGCGGAGAGATAATTTTTCTCACCTCCTGGACAGCTTCGAGAGTCAACTTGGAGACCGCTAAATTAAATTTTTTTTTTTTTTTTTTAGAGATAATTCCTCTCAGTTCGCGCTCCGACTCTAACTGCGAAAAATAAAACTGGGTCCGCTTTAAAGTAGGCTAGGCTGAAAGTGTTCATCACCGACACAGCGGCCGTTTTTTCCTCATCCATATCGTATATTCTTTATGGGGATAGTTACCACACAGAAATACAGCTCACAATGCCAAGTACAACGGAGAAAAAAATAACAAACGAACGAACCTAAATATTTTAAACAAAAAGTGGCTATCACTGCTATTACCACTACCAACCTCCTACTCCCACTAATGGATGTTGTCAACTCTAGCAGTAAGCTATTGACCAGCCTGCCTCCAAGAGTGAGGCAGTCTAACGTTGCCGGCCAGCGCCAAATTCAAATACAGGATGGAAGAAGCACACTAGGAAGAGAGAAGCCATGTTGCCATGTTATACAGGTCGTCATTCCTATATCACAAATTATTTGTGTCGAAAGAAAAACCTCTCTGACACATGAAGTTAACACTAAGTTATTTTGCAAATTGCGAAAATATGCTGACACGCTGGAGTCACCACTTATTAGTATGGTGGTATCTGCCTCACAGTTTAACGACTCTTTTGTGTTAGGAAGAATAACGTGTTTTAGCCTTCCTGTAGCACACCAATACTAATATTAGCATTAGTGTAGCCATTGATACACTAACACTGCGAATATAGAAATAGGCGAACGACACAAACAAAACATTTAATAAAGCAAACAACGTACGTACATATATTCAAAAGATTTACATATGTCCCAAAACAAATGATTGTCCATATTGTCCCAAAGGAACGAGGAGGTTTACAGAATGGGAACAAAGAAATAACATACCAACTTCATGGCCTTTGATCATCCGCAGATAAGTGAATAGAAATTACTTCTTTCTTTCGCGAGGCCGTGCACATGTTGACCAGTCTCCACGTGTGTGGACACCCTGGTTGTCAGGGAGGTAAAGAGGCCGTTCCTTCAAAAAACGAAAGCAAAGACAAAAATGGACGGAAGAGTTCTACTCTCTAAAAGGGGCCAAAACTCCCATGAGCTCAACCCAAGGGAAAACAACTGTGGTCTCCCTACAGAGGGATTGCCACTGGGGATTTTGTTCTCCATGTTACTTTGACACGAAAAAGGTTCGACATCCCCAAGGTGTTAATGTACCGGAAGAGGATGATGCCCGTGGTTGTAGAAGGACGTCGTCCCTACTGCTGTTCATGTGGTGCAGTGGGACATATGGCGTTTCCCGAAAAGAACGCGGCGCAACGGCCCAGCCCAACAGCGGTAGTGTCTGGCGAGGTTCCTGGCGCAGAATGGAAAGAGGTGTGGAAGGAGGTACGAAAGACGCCTCCTCCAAGCAGGAGATCCCAAAGCAACTACAACCCAAGGAGCGACCGGAATCGGAAAAGCGGCACCAACCGCTGCCTCAGCTCCCAAAAGAGCAGCAACAAGACCAACAACTTCAGTAACCGGCAGAAACAGCGGAAACACAGCTTGAACATTGTGCTGACTCAGATGTGGAGGGAAGTGCCTCTACCACGGTCCTCTTCTTTGAAGGGAATGTAGGAGGAAGAGGAGGATGAACAAACAAAGAGGCAGGAAGGAAAGTGATGGACAGAGCCAGGTCCCAATCCGTCCCTGCGGCCCCAGCCAAGAGTAATGACCTTACCCCAAAATCAAGGAGCTCCCAACTTCATCTACCCGGGATCCGTTCCACACTTCTTCCGCATACTTCAATTTCTACACCCCCTCCTCCATCCACTTCTTCCCCGCCCCACCCGTCCAGGGAGAAGAAAAAAGTATTTCCCCGGACTGAAAGAAATATGTAAGGTGGACAGAAATAAGCTGAAGAAGGACTTGTCCAACCATAAGAAATCCCTCTTTGATCCATTAAGATTATCGGGATGGGTATCTGTGCCTCTCTACTCCTTGCTATTTAAGGCAGTAAAGTTAACCTAGCCACGGACGTTAACCTAGCCATTTCCTAGACGGAAGGACGACGTCAGATGGGCACAGGGAGCCTAGCACAATCCGTCGGGATCCTTAGCACCGCAGATTTCAGTACCGTATGTGAATAGGGGGGTTGTTTTTATTTTTCAGGCTTAAGGCATGTCTATCAAGATAGCCTAAATGCGAATGGCTTGAGGGCTCGGGGAAAGGCTGCCCACCTGCTTTATGTCGCCGCGATCCAGGAAACTCATTTTGTTTGCAACGTTGTTTGTGCGCTTTCTAACAACTTTGTCGCCTATTCAGCATATGGGGACTGACAGGTCAGAGGTGTTTCTTTGCTGGTTAAGCAAAGAAACACCACTGCCCTGGATGCGAGGAAGGACCTTGTTCATGTCGATGGCAGGGGCCGGGTGATCGTTGCCAGTATTGATATGAAAAGTAGTTCGTTTCGGATGGTTGCGGTTTATACGTCCAATGTCCAAGTAGAGCGTGTCTATTTTTTTTTTTTTCCCAGCTGAGATTTGGTGGATTTAACGCGCTTAGTCTTAATGGGAGACTGGAATGCCGTCCTGAGTTCCCAAGGTAGACAGAGAGGGCGGGGAGCCAGCCGTGCGAAAGCAGCTTGGTTGATGTGATCGGCGAGTTTGGTCTTGTCGATAGATACCAAGTCGATCACCCTGGAAGGCATATGTGATTTAAGTAGTCGTCTACCCGGGTAGCTACCTACCTGGATAGAATGCTAGTCAGAAGGGCCGACATAGATCTGCTAGATTGTCCCACGTTCCACTGGTTACGCGGTTCGGACCACACACTCGTCTGTGCCCGTGGCGCTAGATTGTAGGCCTAGAATGGCTGGATACTAGAAGTTCAATGTGGCTCTACTGGGCAGGCGGAACTTCCAGGAACAGCTTCGTGAAACGAAAATTAGTGGGGACGGTTATTGAGAATTGCAGGCTGGGAATACTGCACTTTGCGAGTCACCAACACGCATCGAGGCTAACCTTCTTACGTCGCGCATTGTCAGGGAACTATATTTTGGCAGGGAGTGTGATGGCCACCTTTCCTTACTATCACTCTTTCCTTCTCGCGGAGCTGAGCGCCTTCGTAAGCCGTAGGATCAATCGAGTTTCCTCCTTGAGGATCGATAGGCCATGGTTATTCCTTGTCCAATCTCTTTTCCTGGACTAAGAGTCTTCTATCATGAACTAATGGAAGGGGTCACGAAGGATCCGCTACGTGATATTCTCGGCTTGACGGCGGGGTATTTTGTCGCATTGGTCTTTGGGCGCCAGCAGCATATTAGCTCATCAACACTGAGTTTTCGCTTCCCTAACGATTGGTTCGGAATAGGCTATCTCGCAGTGTCATGGCCTTCAAATGGGGCATGGAGGATTTGCCAGACGGTCAACGATGTGACCTTGGCTTAGAGGAAATGGATTCGCACGCTTTCTACCACTGTCCACGGGTGCGTCCCTATGGTCCTATACCGGCAGGATGACGGCTCGTATCACTCTTGAAAACTGGGGTGAAACGGATGGTGTTTCTGTCGCTGCTAGCCACGGCTCAAATGGTGATTTGGACGACACGAATGAAGGAAATCTTGCGATGTGAACGTTATTCTCACCAGGGTGTTATCAGATTCTTTGAACATCAGGTTAGGGTAAAGATTAGAACTGATAGAAAGTGTTTGGTACCGACAGATTTCAGTGAAAGTTGGGTAACTGTAGCGAGCATGGTTCGTGTGAACGAGGCTAGCCTATTTCTTAATTCACAACGGCGCTGCTTCCTGTGGAGTCCTCCCCTAGTTAGGATAGATGCTTTTTGTGTACCTTGATAATGTGACTGTTGTTCCTGATTTGTTCCTGGCTTCCTCTTTTGTTATGATCCAAGCCTAGATTCCCAACCTCCCCAGTTTATTTTTCCATTTCGACTGGGTCAGTTTCTTTTTTCCATGGCCGTATTCCCTATTCTTTAGCGAGAGAGTTTCTTGATTTTGTTTGAAGATAAAATACAGCGGCCTCTCTTATTTTGAGGACTTTATGGGGGGTGTTTTTTGGTGTTTTTGTTTTTGTTGGTTTGGGGGGTTGTTTTGGCGGGGTCTTGTTTTTTTTTTTTTTCTTTTCGGGTTCATCGGAAAAAAACAATTATCGATAATTTTATATGCACGGATTTTTAGGTCATGGGGTATTGTGGTGTGTGTATATATATATATATATATATTAGTTGAATGACGATTGGTCAGTTTTTGTGGTGGATGTGCAAATTATAATGAATGAATGGGTCTTGAATCTGATTAGCTAGGTATATGATAGTGTCGACTAGCCTTAACCCATTTCCCCTTTTAAGCCTTGTACCAAAATTGCTCTATTATTATACACAATATATCAATAAAAATTGAATACTTTCCAAAAAAATTATTTAAATTTGTATGAAGTGAAAGCAAAACTTGTAAAGTTTTTTTAATCTATTTTTTGAATAATATATAAAGGTTGAAAATTAAAACTCAATAATATGGCGAGATCATACAAGATTGAGAATGGAAAAAAGAAAACCCAAATTTTGGCTGTCTTCGAATCAGATGTGAGATTGAAGTTCAGAATCACGACAAAATGGAGTCACTTATGCAACTGCTTACAGATGGGTATCCCAAAGCGAAAAAGAAGACTCAAGAGGTGGACAAAGTTTCAGGAAAATGTAAAATGAGTACAAAGATTTTATGAGGAACAAAATTGAAAACACCAGAATAATGCTTAATGAGTTGACGCCATTTACCATAAATTTAATTTAAAATTGTCCGAGCCGACTCTGCATCGCCACCTGAACATGCTTTTATACACTCTGAAAAGTGTCAGATACTAGTCAGGAACAGCAAACACGTTAGAGAATAAAGAAAAGAGAAAAAGTTTTGTGGAGGAGACTTTTTGCATTTCAAGGCCAGAACTTGCCAATCCCCAGTTATCCATTATTTCAAGGATTGAAGAGGTCATCTCGGCAAGGTACAAGGTGCATCACAATTGCAGTAGCATCAAAAGGTGACAACATATAATAGGCTGTATCGGCCACTTGGTCCTAATTTACAGTGAAGTCAAGCGGGGATCGTACGCAATTAACTTGGCGTGTGATTTCGTTAAAAAGGCACTGCGTGCAGCCATGGAAAAGTACGGTCGTTCTTGTCATTGATAATGCACTTTGCCACTCAAAAATCGAAACCGTCTTAGATGAAGAGGAATTTACCGATGATCACATTATGATGCTAGGACTTTACAGCCCCATGCTCAATTCGAGTGAGAATTTTTGGTCAAATTTCAAGGCTTAATTAAAGAGGAAATTGGCTGAAAATACCCAGGAAATTCTAATGAGAGGTTAACCTTGAGCATAGGCTCCAAAGGCTAGAAATTTATATAAATGCTGCTCTGGCAACGATGACCCCGCAATGTTTTCAAATTTCATGGCAGGCATCCAAGGCGAAAATCATGAAAACCGTAAATCTGGAAGACATGGCATTTTAATTAACATGCTTTATTTACAATGAAGATTCATTTTTTCTATAGAATTATTTTTACTTTTTTATTCGTTTGGTTCAAATTTACTATTTTCAAATTTGTTTCATTTCGAAAGTTACCTTATCACTGTCAATTTTAGAAGAGTATCTTGCTAATTTGTATATCTGCGTTAGTCCTTCGTTACTGTTGTCGTTCCAAACTTCGTGCATCTGACCCTGTAGAAAACCCGCCCACTATGAAATACAAGTGTCTTTTTTGTTGTTCCAATTTTCATTAAAACTTCTTCGTTGCTCACATGCTCCGTCTATGGAATTCTTAGCATTCTTTTATAGAATATGTTGCCTCCAAGTTTCCACTTCATATGAAAATTTCCTGGCATTCACTATAGAAAGGGCGGATATTTTGATGTTGTGCTGTATTTTGACGGAGCTATACTTGTCGTCCCCCCCCCACACACATGCAAAACTGTCTGGCTTCTCCTTTCTGGTATATTTTATCGAGTATGGCCCCACTCCGAGACCGCTTCATATCTTAGTGTAAGGATGATTAATGCAAATATTGTTAGGTTATGTTTATCACTGAAATAGTACACACATTACACCGGAAATGCACTTAAATTCATAAAATCTATGTATCATTGAAGAAAGTCCATCCGAACACTTACTGATATGTCCCGGAAAGGGATATATTTGTTCGAAGTAGCAAAGTGGTTTTGGACTACCGTAACCGAGTAGGACAATCTAGCAGGTAACCGTAATGAACTGGTCCTCGTCGTAGTGGTAGGCAAGAGGCGTAGGCATTAGGCAAAGACAATAGGCGTAGTCAATAGGCGTCCCTGTACCTCCACGTCAGTCTCTATTTATGGCTGACACCAGCCAATCATATTACTGTGAGGGGGAACCCAGATGTATGCCCCTCCTGGGTATGCATCCAACAGCAAGGAGGTTTTGAGGAACGTAGAACCACCTATTAATTGCTGGTGTTCTCAGGTCGACCCTGACCCGGGGTGGTAGCACCTGTTAGGGCCCCAGCTATGGGCAAATAGTGAACTGTTTTTTCCAGACCTTACCCGCGTCCTGGGTATGGCGATAAACTACGTCCAACAGCAAGGCCTCTGATAATGTTTTTGGAAAAATAATGTTGCCAGCTATACGTTTAATAGTACTATATATTTATAACTTAATTTTGCATTAAATGACCTACAGTGGTTGATATGCTATAAAACCCAACCAACCAACCAGGTGTATGCATATTCATTACATCACCTCCCACTGAGCTAAATTTTCCCGTGAAATTTAGCCTTAATATTTTCTCTTTTTAGGGTCTGGACTTAATCGAGTGATTTTTTTTTTTTTCTTCTTCTTTCTAAGTCTTTTTCGCCTGAATCCTTCTTGCAGTGGTGCAGCTTGACACACTGGTACCTCTGGCCTTGAGGTCGGGGATACCTCCATTGGTGAATGTTAACTTACTGGAACGGGAATTTCAAATGCGTCATACAGGACTTCCATTGGAATCTCTTCGACATTTTCCATGAAATCTGTAGTATGTCTTGATTCCAATGTCTTTTGCACCGAAATTTTTCCCCTTTTATGTCATACATGTCCTGTTCAATTCTTTTGTTTATCATTCCTTCTTCCCAATACATTTTTTTCAGCCCCAAAGTTCTTGAAAAAAAAAAACTTTGTCACCTAGCTTATACGCTTTAGTCATCTGGTTTTCTTTCTTAGCAGTTTTTCTCGCCGGACTAGGCAACAGCCTGTCGAACACAGCGTATTTTTCTCGCGAACGTTAACTGCTGGCGATAACCCTGACGTCGTATTCGGGTTTGGCGTGATTCTATATACTGCCAAAAATTTCTGAATACTTCTTTCATTCGTGTCCACGCCTTGGTTTTCCTTCAACGCTCGTTTCACGAATTTTTCCGCCTGTCCATTCGATCTTGGATGATATACTGGCGTTGTCACGTGATGAATGGACAATTATCTACAGAATTCCTTGAATTCTCTTCCCGTAAACTGTGTTCCGTTGTCGCTGACTCAAGTTTTAGGTAGTCCAAAGCGACTAAAAAACTAAAAATTTCATTAAGTGCGTTTATTGTATTTGTTGCAGTCGGATGTTTGCACTTAACAATTTCTGGTCACTTAGTGAAACCTTCCACAGTGATCAGGTAATAAGATCCATTTATCTGCCCTGCATAGTCGATATGGAATCGAGTCCATGGGACATCTGTCTTTGGCCATGGTTGAATCTTTACTGATGGATCCCTTACTGCCAGTTGACATCCTCTGCAATGTTTCACGAAATTTTCTGTCTTGGTCTATCCTCGGCCAAGAAGTATAGCCTCTCATTCTCGAAATCCCTGGATGGCCAGTGTGAAATTCTTTCCGAATTTTCTTTTGCAGAGTAAGCGGCATTACAACTCTATCTGCGTATAGTAATACCTGTTCGCAGATTGAAAAAGGTGATAAACTCATTCCTTTTTTAGTTGTCTCGTTCAACCAGACTTGCTTTTTCATTTTTTTAATGAAATCATCGTTTACCGCTGCTTTTTTCACATCTTCTAGCGTAACCGGTAGTTCTCTAATAGTGTTGCATAACAGACCCGACAATTCACTTTCGTCTCTTAGCGCCGCTATTACTGTTTCTTCCAGTGGTTCCGTATATTTAGGTATCAATCTTGATAACCCATCGGCGTGACCTAGCTGCTTTGAAGGCATATATTCTATTTTGAAATTATAATTCAATAGAATTACACCCCAACGCTGTAGTCGATTTGCCGTGTGAGTTGTTCTACTTTTTTCCTTTTTTTTTGTTCTTTTTTTTTAACAGCGGTTTGTGGTCTGTTTGCAAAATAAATTCTCTTCCGTATAGAAACCTGTGACATTTTTTACAGAGTAGATTATTGCTAAACTCTCTTCGATTTGACTGTAACTTAGTTCCACGGGCAGTAACGTTCTCGAGGCATGTGCTATTGGCTTCGTAGATCTGTCCTCGAATTTATGAAGCAATACCGAACATAGTCCCTCATTACTGGCATCTGCTGCTACAATGATTTTCCTCTTCGGGTCGAAATGCGCTAACGATAAGTCTGCTAATAGACAGCTTTTTATTGTCAATGATCTGCCCTAAATATTTTATCTTTAAGAAGAACTCGCCTTTTTCAGCACTCAGCTTAAACCCGTATACCTAAGTTCTCTGAAATACCGCTCTAATATGCGTTTTGTGTTGGTCCTCGTTTTCAATTTTAATCAAAATACCATCAAAATATGCGATTGCATACTCCATACCAGCCAACATTGTGTCCATTATTTGCTGGAATAGGCTTGGAGCTACCTTCAATCGTCCAAAAAGACGATTTAGTTTTAAAATCCCTTTATGCGTGTTTATTCTCAGGTACTTCGAACATTCTTCACTGATTTTAATCTGAAGGTAAGCCTCCGACAAGTCCAACTTTGAAAACACTCTACCTCCGTTTTAGTGAATATATCCTCCGGAGACTGGAGAGGGTACGCATGGTCTTTCACACAATCATTAAGCCTGTCGGTTTTTCTTTTTTATATATACGGTTGGAGACGCCCAATCCGAGTAATTGACTTTTGAAATTACGCCAATTTTCTCCAACGTTTCTAATTCCTCATTTATTGTTTTGTGCAGAAAATGGTACTTTTTCTCTTTGGTTTAAAGATTGGTTTAACATTTTCTTTCAACTCTAAGTTGACTTCTGTTTTTGGGCATAGACCTAGTCCTTCTGAAAAGACGCGAGGGAATTTGCCTTTCAAATTCGTAATAAATCTTTGTTTGCTTTGTCTTATAGTTCTCTATGACGTTAACTTTGTTACAGAAAGAATTTACCGGTAATTCCCAGTCTAAACCAAAGAGGTTTACTGAACCAGGGAGCACATACACTTTCGATGAAATTTGTGAATTTTTCCTATGAACGCAATGTTACATTTTAATTCACCTCTAAACTTAAGTCTTTTTCCTGACACTCCCCTGGCAATTTTGTCTGTGTTGGTCAACGGCGGGTAATAACCGATTTTTTTTTTTTTTTCATGTTTGCTAGTTTATTACCGAGAAATTACTTCCTGAATCAAGTAATAAATTTAAGTCTGCCCATTTATTTTTACATTGAGGTATTTTCTTCTTTTACTCTTCTCAATTTCGTTTTTAGACAAGACTACGTCCACCTTTTGTTTGAGACTTTTACTTTTCTCTGTTTTGCCCGACAATGGGAACTTCTATTGCCTACACACCCACAATTAAAACATTTTATCCCTAAAGAAACAATCCTTCTTTATATACTGTCCTCCACACGAACTGCATATATTTTTTTTCTTTTTGTATCCACTTCTGTTGTCTTACAGTTTGTACTCGCGAAATGCTCTTCTCCTCAATCCGAGTATTATCCTTTTTTATGTTTAAAGTCGTTGACATTCTTCCGTTATTTTTTGTAGCGTAATCTTCGGATCCTGTTCCATGATAGG